AAATGTCCCACAGGCTCACCTATAGGCCATCTGATAGAGGTATTTTTCTCAGTTGAGTTTCCCTCTTCTCAAGTTACTCTAGCTTGCATTGATTTGCCAAAAATAAACAAAGTCCAAAAAAACCCAAAATCCCCAAACCAATAAAAACACACACACACTTAAATTCTTCATGAGCCATTCCTGGCTCACAGTGGGCTCATGTTAGCAAGTTTTAAATGCAGGGATAACGTGTGAGATGTGGCATTGACAACCGGAGACTCAGCTAAGGAGATCATCATCCTTCCGAATTCTCCAGCCAGCTTTTGTGGCAAAGCCTCTGTCTTAGAGAAGACAAGTAGCTTCTCATTTCTAGCCTTCTACTTAAGGGTGGCATCACTAATCCTATGCCTGCTGCCTGCCAGGCAGCATTTAGTGCAAGCAGGAGTGGCAGAACAAGGGATGGGCTGCCCTTCACCCCACGCGGGAAGTTACCATTGGGTCTGGCTCACGCCTCCATTTCTGGCCACAGCTTGGGAATCCAACCCCTAGCCAAACAGATGGACAATGGTACTGATGAAATAAAGATATTCATGTAAATATCATAGCACAAGTTGATGTTCAGCTGAACTAAAAGACGGCAAACAGGCCAGTACACGGTATTAACAGCTGGGAAGATAATTTACTGCATTAACGACTTCTCTCAGCAAGCGGCTGTCTGGAGGACAGAGAGCCAGGATCAAATTCATTTTCTTGATCAGCGAAGCTGAATACAGAGGTGACACCTGGTACACGGAGTCTGATGAATCACACAACTCGTAAATCACATGACTGTGATAGGAAAATCCTGGGGTGCTTACACTGGATGCAGCTCTCTTGGAAGGCAGCTTTCCAGCAAAATTTAAGTAGCTTTGTATTCATTTATCACAGCTTGAGGGCCTACCATGTGTCACCTTGCTAGTGCTGAGACTAGAGATACGATGCAGTGCAATTACTCTCATTTAAATATAATCTATTTAGAGGGGCGGAGTCATAACATAGCATTGTAGAGACATGTGCTAGGAATGTCCAGTGTGGGAGTAGGTCCAAATGCTTGTACAGGGTTAAGATTTGTGTAGAACCCCTAAAGAAGATGATATTTAACAAAAAAAATGAACCAGTCAGTCTAGGCAAGCAAAGAGCATGAGCAGCAGTATGAAATTTGGAGAACTTTGATTAGCAGGATAATAAATGGGCTTAGGGATGCAAAAAAAAAAATGCACTCAAAGGTGAGGTGAGGGTAGTAGCTAGAGATCTCCAGGTCTTGAGGAGATATGTTTGTATACTTCCATTTGATTTCACATGGAGATGGATTTAGGAACTAGAAGCTGAAGGAGGGCTTCAGGTAGAGAATTCATGCGGAAGGCTAACAGGTTGCTGAGCGGGAGGACTAGGAGGATGATTACCGTGAGGCTGATACAGGGATGACCCATGCACAGCCCGTCGAAGGAGAATTGTGGATGTACAATAGGTGAATAGAATTGGCACAGGTCATGTGACACAAATGGATAGGGCTACGAATTGAATCAAGTGACGTTTTCATGGTTCAATTGAAGCCCATCAGCCCCCAGATGGAAGGAGAGCCAAGGGGGAACATCTGTTTGCTGAATCACACAGCCAATGATACCAAAGAGCACAGATTTCTCTCCCTACAACGTCAGGCAGCAAGGCTCTCAAGTTGTAGCTGGCCTGTGATGGCTGCCTCTCTAGGGTGTTGTGGAGCCCGAGAGCCTGCTGCTGCTTTCTGCCTTCAGACCAGATGAGTACCTTCTTGCCAGACTACGGCTCTTCAATATGCACAGTCATCGTTTCAAACACTGGAGAACATTCAAAATTTAGGGTCCATCTTTTCTCCATCCATTCTGCAAACCCAGTTTCTCTCCCTTCTAAGTCTTAAGGTTCCTATTTATTAATTACAGGGCCTTCTTATTCTCCACCCACTTACTCTCTATGCCCTTAATGATTAATTTTCTGTGGCTGCTGTAACAGAATGCCATTAACGTGTGGCTTAAAATCACGGAAGTTATTTTGTCAGTTCTGGAGCTCAACATCTAAAACATACGGCTCTGGGGCCTTGCTTACTCAGAAGGCTCCACTTCCATAGTTTCTTGTGGTGCTGGCACTCCTTGGTAGTCTTTAGCCTGCCTGTGAGGTGTAACATTCTGGTCTCTGCTACACTTGTCACATGGCTGTCTCTCTTTGTGTTCCTGCATCCAACATTCCCTCTTTTTCTAAGACACTGGCTTAGAGGCCATTGTAACTTATTATGACTGGTTATAAACTTGACTATATCTGCAAAGATCTTGTTTCTAAGTGAGGCTGAGAGTGTACATACTGCAGATTATCTCTGAACTTATCTTTTGAACTTATCTTTTGCAGAGATGGAGTCTGACCTACACCATTTTTGTTCCAACCTTCACTGACTCCTGACTAGACAAACTTCACTGGCTTGCCAAACACTCTGTATCTCTCCAGAATCACACTGCCTTCTTTTAATTGTTATTTTCTCATAAATGTGATAAGATTCACCCCCCCCCCCAAGACTCCAAGGAGGAAGGGCTTATTTTGGCTTGAGATTTAAGAAGAGATACACTACATCATGACAAGGAAGGTAGCTGGCCACACTGGACCAAGAGTCGGAAAGTGGAGAACAGACTGAAAGTGGGCCTGGGCTATAAAACAGGCCCCCTCTCAGTAACCAGCTTCTGCCAGCCAGGCTTTATTCTGTAACGGTTCTACAGGCTCCAGAAACAATGCCAACATCTGGAGACCAAGTGTTCTAACACACGAGCCAGCAGAGGACATTTCCCATTCAAACCACAACTTTCTATTCTTCCAGGAGAGAGAACATTCCAAAACATGAACTATCTCCTTCTCCCTTGATGCTTTTTATGTCTGCCCCATCCAGGCCAGCACCCTCAGAGTATATGATTACTCTGTCCCTATTAATTTTCCTACATTCTCTTCTCAAATTCTATTACTTAGAAAAGACAAAACACAATTGCATCGATACCTGCCTCTTTATGTCCCTGAGCCTTTGTACCTCCTGTTTTCTCCATTTGAAATGCTCATTTTGCTTTATGTTCTCAGCAATCTCTAATCATTATATTTATCTCAGCCATGGTGTCTTATTACAGCAGTAGAAAACTAATCAAAACAGGCTCAGGGGAACATGTTTTAACCGATTTTTTATTATTATTATTATTATTATTATTATTATTATTATTATTATTTTGAACTAGTCACCTTTTACTGCACATTAGTTCTCAATAAGAATATAAAGATTCAGCCACAGCTACATTTGTTGTGGATGGAAACTAGGCAGCTGGTTTTACTTAGGGGTGCAGTGCTCTTCATACTGGCCCTCCTTAGTGGTATGTGCATCACACTCACGTTGAGTTCCTTGTAAGAAATGTAGTAGCTGAGAAGCAGGTAGGCTGCCAGCATCACGTTAAGCCCCACAATGCTGCCTTCCCAGATGATGATGTACTTCTTGTAGTCCTGGTCGTAAACTCTCTGAAAGGCTCCCCCAGTACCCCTGGGGGTGAAATCCCACACCAGCATCCAGGTTGTCACTGTGACTTCCATGAGCTTCTTTTTCTTCAGGGGCACAATGATGCCATTTGCAGTCCTGGTGTCTGCAAAGCCCTAGATTTATTATATTAAATTGCATGTATGTGCCAGGCGGTGGTGGTGCATGCCTTTAATCCCAGCACTCAGGAGGCAGAGGCAGGCAGAGCTCTGTGAGTTCGAGGCCAGCCTGGGCTACAGAGTGAGTTCCAAGAGAGGCACAAAGCTACACAGAGAAACCTTGTTTCAGAAAAAAAAATTACATGTATGTCTGTGTGTGGGTATGTGAACTTCAATGCAGGTGCTTGAGGAGACCAGAGGTTCAAATTCTCCTAGAGGTGGAATTACAGGTGCTTGTGAGGCACTTGATGTGGGTGTAGGAACTGAACTTAGGTCCTCTGGAAGAGAAGCATGTGTTTTAAATTACTGACCCACCTCTCCAGCCCCAAAGCACATACATATTGAATAGTCTTTCCCAATGTCTTTCCATTAACTTACTTTTAGGACTTCTAGTCTACACAACAGAGGTATTCTGCTTGTTTGGTGACCATACGATTGAAATGAGGGAGCAAAATCTTGCTGCAGGCATTGACTCATGTTCTTACACTTGTTCACAGTGGGAGGAGATTTAGTTTTATAATCATTTCCAAAAGGTGGCAGAGTGGCTTGATTCTCCTGAAGGCTTCATCATCCATGCTTAGGGAATGCTACAGTTCTTACAGAGATTAAAATCAACTGGAGAAGCCTGTAAGGTCTTTTTTAACCTAACTGTAGGGAAATTTATTTGTCTTCTCACTGAATAATTTAAAATTTGTATGTCTTAAGCCTTGACTGAGCATTGCATTTTCTTCTTCAATACATAACTATACAACCCTTTCAGGTTATTACCTAGTAGCCTACTTTCTAAAGAACTTTGAACTGTAATTAAAGTACTGCATGGGGAGAAGATGGAATGTACATGGCCCCAGTCTTAATCTCTTGATAACCAGAAGTGGTGGGGTTGGGATTAATTTCTTTTCTTCTCCTTTTATTTTGAAAAAAAATTAAAAATATTTTTCATACAGTTTATTTTGATCATGTTTCTTCCCCTCCCATAACACCTCCCAGATTCTCCCCACCTCCCTACCTATTCAACTTTATGATCTTTCTCTTTCCTTTAAAAAAATCACAAAAATGAACATCAAAAATAATCAAAAGACCAATAAGACAAAAAGAGATTGAGAGAGAGAGAGAGAGAGAGAGAGAGAGAGAGGAAAAGAGAAAAAGAAAGAGAGAGAAAGAAAGGAAGCAAGCAAGCAAGCTAAAACAGTCTATACACACACTGTCTTAGTTAGCATTTTTTATGTCTGTGAAGAGACACCATGACCACAGCAACTCTTATAAAGGAAAACATTTAATGGAGGGGCCTCACTTACAGTTTCTGAGGTTCAGTCCATTATCACGGTGGGGAGCCTGGCAACATGCAGGCAGATGTGGTGCTGGAGATGAGAGTCCTACATCTTGACTCAGAGGCAACAGGAAGTTGACTGTCACACCGAGTGAAGCTTGAGAAAAGACCTCAAAGCCCGCCCCCATAGTTACACACTTCCTCCAAGAAAGGCACACCTACTCCAACAAGGCCACATCTCCTAAAAGTGCCACTACCTTTGAGAGCCATTTTCTTTCAAACCACCACAAACACACAAAACAAACAAACAACTCCCCCCCCCCAAAACAAGTAAATAAACAAAACACAGAGTTCATTCTGTGTTGGCCAATTATTCCTGGGCAGAGGATCTGCCCTGGAGTGTTGTTGGTCTGTCTATCTATCTATCTATCTATCTATCTATCTATCTATCTATCTATCTAATTGTAGTGACACTTCATTAAGAAAAACTGATTTCCCTTTACCCGTGGGTGTAACAGGCTTTCTCAGACTGCTAGCCCCTGAATCAAGACACAGAGACTTATTATTAGTTATGAATGCTCAGCCTTATCTTTTACTTGTCGAACTAGCTCTTATAGCTTAAATTAACCTGTTTCTCTTCATCGCCGTTTTGCCTCGGGTTTTTTTTTTTTTTTTACCTTTCTTTCATTCTGTATGTCCTGCTCTATATCTGTCTGTCTGGCAGCTGCCTGGCTGGCCCTGGGCATCTCTCTCTCTTTTTTCATTTGTTCTGTTTCTTCTCTGTCATTCTCTAGAGTCTAGATTCCTCCTCCTACTTATTTTCTCTGCCTGCCAGCCCATCCTATCCCTCTACTGCCTAGCTATTGGCCTCTCAGCTTTTTATTAGACCAATCAGGTGCCTTAGGAAGTCAAAGAAACACCTTTACATCATTAAACAAATGCAACACATCTTTGCCTAGTTAAAGTAATAGTCCACAACAATTGAGTATTGACTGAAAATAGTTTCTCGGTTAGGGGTGGGACCCCTGTCCACAACCTCCTTTCTCGGTGCCAGGAATCCACCCATGCAGATCTTGTGTGTCCTACCATAGCTGATGTGAGCTCATATGTGCCTCAATCTTCTGGCTTTTACCATCTTTCCATCTCCTCTTCTGCATAGAGCCTTGAACCTGGAGGAGAAAGGGTTTCTCTGTCTAACAGTCCTAGCTGTTCTGGAACTCGCTCTGTAGACCAGGCTGGTCTCAAACTCACAGAGATCTGTCTGCCTCTGCCCCCCGAGTGCTGGGATTAAAGGTGTGTGCCCCACCCTGGTGGGGTGAGAGGTTTGATGAGAACATCCCATTTAGGATTGAGTGAGTGCAATTTTGGACGGATTTCTTTACATTCAGAGAAAAAAACTTTTCCCTTAGGATGGCAGTAGGTTCTTACATAACTTAATGTGTACAAGTACATGGTTCTGTACTTGACACAAAATAGGTAGTCAGCAAATGCAGGTTCTCTTGCAAAGATGGATGCACTTCTCTTAAAAAGTTTAAATTATTATTTTATTTTATTATTTTATTTTATGTGTATGGGTGTTTTGCTTACATATCTGCTCACAAAGGCTCGAAGAGGGTGCCACATCTCCTGGAACTGGAGGTATGGATGATTGTGAGCTGCCATGTGGGTGCTAAGAACTGAATTTGGGTCCTCTGGAAGAGCAGCTAGCGCTCTTAACAGCAGAAACATTTCACCAGTCCCAAGGTAGACTTCGTGTGTGTGTGTGTGTGTGTGTGTGTGTGTGTGTGTGTGTGTGTGTGTACATTTATTTGTGTGTGGGTGCATACATACATACATATGGAGGCCAATGATCAATGTTATATATGTTTCTAAATTGTTGTCTACATTATTTCTTGAGACAGTCTCTCACTGAACCTGGAGCTCTGGCCATATGTTCCGAGGATCCTCCTGTCTTTGCCTCCCCAGAACTGGGATTATAGTAATGCCCCTCCATGCTTGTCTTTTACATGGATTTTGGGGATATGAACTCAGGTCCTCAAGCTTGTGTGCCAAGTGTTTTTTTAACTGAGCACTCTCCTCAGCTCCCAGAAGTCTTCTTTATACATCCAGTCCACATCCTTTTGGCTTGGGAATCATAGTCATAGAAAGCATTTATTGATGAAAATGAGCTTCTGTTTTGATGGGTTAGCAGTTCTGATAACATTTAGAGGTACACGTTGACTGAATGTTTTGTTCCTGAAAGCAAGGACATTGAAGATCTTAATAATTTTATTAAGATGTAGAGTCCCCAGCCATGGTCTGAACATCTATATTTCTAACAGGCTACAGACATTGTCAGGCCTGGTAATCATGGTTAATATTGAGAAGATCTCTAATGAGGAGTCCTACCAGTATCATATGCTTACTAGTAGAGTAGGTACCCCATTCTCTCTTCCTAGACAACCTGACACTACAACCCCTTTCTATTCAGGCCATCCTCGTGGCTAGTAGCTGTTGAATGAATTTGTAGCAGGAAGTGATGAATGTCTGCTTATAGATATCCTGTGATTTTTTTCCCCCTTATCCTCTTTCTTTGCTTGTCAGTAAGCTGCACATCAAATCTCTTAGCAGAAGTGCCTTGAAGACACGGTCATCATCATCATAGGGAAGGCACTGTGATCCCTGATCCACAACTTAGAATACAACTTATTACTGGGGATACCTAATTAGACAATGGCCACATAGGACATGTTTGTAGGAACCTGATGCAGTTTCAGTTGGTTATTACAACAGAAGGCCTAATTCCCTGACTATGACAATGATATGCTAAGCTTTTCCCTTAGTCTTTGGAGTAAGATGCTTGGCAATAGAATTTCTGGGTCTCATTTTTCAGACACTTTTACATATTAATTCCATTGTTTCAGGTGACTATTAACATTTTGTGGGGTCTGTCACTTGAAAACATTTGAGAAACACTAAGAGGAACCAGCCTGAACTCAAGTCTTAGGAAACTCCAGCATCACATTGTGGGCTTGTTGCTGTTCAGGACCTCACCCCATCCATCTTCATTACTTTCCTTTGCACCAGTTTTCTCAAGCATCCTGCCTCGGGTAATAGGACTGTTTCATAAGCCTCATGTTCAAAAGCTTCAGTGAGCTGGGGAGTGTTAAGGTAGAGTAGATTGAGTGTGACTATTTGATGGGAACAGAAGAAATCCAGAGGTAGACACAGCACACTGGAGGCAGAGGCTAAAGAACAACCCAAAGCATCATCGGCTAGATTTACAAATCAGAAATGGAACTCATTCTGAGAAATCAATTGGGTGTCATGGAATATTTATGGGTCCCTGCTCCTGGCAAGCATTTCATTCAGTTCACGTGCCCTCGTTTACAACCCTGCTGCCTGGGCTTAGATGCTTGCTCCCTCTCCATCTTCTTATGATTACAAGCAAGGTTGCTGGCTACCCTTTGATGGAATTTTTCAATTCTCCTTGAATGTCCTGGAATAATGGATTTTTTTTCTTGATCATCAGACACCCTAGTGTCTAGCTGAGCTTTGGTGCTGTCCTTGTGGGTAGAATCATTCAGGGACTGTGGTCTTCAAAAACGAAAACATGTTTCATAAAAATTGTAGAATCATGCATTCACAGGATAGGATGCTTAGTGTGTCTCTTCTTCGTTTTATAGACCAAGTTCCAGAAGGAAAAGTCACATGTGCAAGGGGTACTAGCCTTGCAACTGGGACTAGTCCTGCTCTGAATTGTAGAATGTGATCATCATAATTCAACCTCTCTAAGGAAAATAATTATACCAATGACAGGTGGACACTCCTTGTGTCACTGTGTCTTTAAGTTCCATTTTGTCTCCTCAAAAGAGGACTCAGTAAATGCTGCTGAAATGAGAATTGCTCCTTCTTTTGGATATATTGCAGCATCCTTTGGGTATATGTCATGAAATATTTAGAGAAATATAGAAAAATTGTGCTGTATAGCATCGAATAGAGAAGGAACACAGCTATTCTCTCAACTTTCTATGTCTAGTTATTTTTAATATCAGTTTTTCTGAAAGACTTAGTCCTGAACATTGGGAAAAGAGCCAATAAATTTTGCTGAATGAACTTGGCCTCAGGGGTGGCAGCAAGTTTTTATGTATTCACACATCTCATATTTAAAGCTGAACCACATCTTAGTGATTAACATTGAGTCTCCAGACATGAGCACAGGAGCTGGCTCACAGTAGGTCCTCAACAAGTATAGCAAAGAGGATGAATGAAAGATGCCTTCAACTTCTCTAGAATCAAGACATCAGAGTCATATGGCATTGGTGTTTATCAAAACCCAGTAAACCTCATGGGTTCACAGGGAAGCCTCTCAGGAAGTCTCCTAAGTCTATATGTAGACTATCCTTAATTGGAGGTGAGGCAAGCCCAGATGTTACATGTTCTTTTTAGCTTGCCATGAGCCACATGTGTGTTCTGAGGGGACAGGGCCTCTTGGGTCACCCCAGTATACTAGTTATCTAAGAGGGAAAATTGACCCTCTTCATGCCATTGAGTTTTCCTGTCTGACTATTCATTATTTCTCCCGACTTTAATAACTATCACAGCTGGAAATGAGAAAGAATAATGAACCATTAATTTACATTCAAGACACTAATTAAAAAGGCACAGTTTTGTTTTTGTGAGTTGTGCTGATGACTTAATTATAGCAAGACTGTGAAAACAACTTCTCATTTTGAGGCTTACAAGTGACTGCAACTTAAAAACATGTAGTGCTCACCATGGGCATGTGGGAGTGTAGGGGAGAAGCAGGTAGAAAGAACACAAGGTCCTTGGGGGTGGAGGTCAGCTTCTAGTTCCAGGTCTCCTTGTCATTGATGGGATGATGTCAGACAAACAGCTTCATCTCTGGCCTTACGTCTTCCAAACGGGATACAGATACAGCCTGAATCTTATGTGCTGTGAGAACCATATTTACTCTATGCTGCACTGTCATGGAGTTGTCTCAACTTTCATATCTTATTGACTGTTGAACCTGGTCCACTTGGATTTATAGTATTAATAGTGACACTGTGGTCTTGCCAAGTAGCCTCAGTGTCTGTCATTTGGAAGAGAAGACAACTGTTTTTTCTTGGAAGATAAGCTTGAACCAAAGCGAGTGGGTATGCATTAAATGGGACTGACATTTATTGAGCATCTCCCTTAAGCTGGAAACATTCTAACCATCTCATTTAATCTTTTCATTGTGGTAGACATGCCTGCCCTATTTTATCAATGAAGACTCTCAGGTTCTGAACGTGCAAGTGGCTTAACTAAAGGAATACACCCATCCCATGCAGTATTGAGGTTAGAATCACAG